ATTCACATTTTTGAAGTAATCAATGATTTAGAATCCAATCAAACTCCAAAAATCCAATCTAAAACTTTTTTTTGAGAATGTTATGTGCTCTGTGTCCGCTATAGTCCTTTTTCTGACCTCATTCTGTACTCGTATCGACAAGTACTACCTCATTTATCACTCTGATAAGTGTTGGTAAGTTTCAGTACTAAAAAATCATCAAATCGTCCTCGAGTGCAAGGTGCTAAGAATAACACGAAATTTTTGGAAGGGCTGGCTTATTTATCTACGTAACACTTTCTGCCCATCTTTCCTCCTCTTTACACACCCCCCCCCCCTCTCCCTCCCTACCCCAATAAATAAAGCGCACCTGTATCAATGTAAACCGAATTTTGGATAAGGTGGGAACGCAAGTCTATCAATATCGATAATTTTTTTCAATACAAGCCCTGGAGATGAAAGCCAGCTGCAAGTCGAGATAGAAGTCGAGCTCAGAAAGAAATTACAAACAGTTTAGTGAATGATTAAAATAACTGATAAGCGTTACACAAACTACAAGCAAGAGTTTTGGACGAAATTTTTCTTAGTGAAAAATAATTGATTTATAAATAAAAAACAAACATTGGGGGGACCAAATGATCTTCAGAAGGGATCAACCTGAACTTGCGAATTTTCCATAGCACAGTTCAAAGCTGTCTCCTGCTGATTAAACACTACATGCATAAGTAAACACCTGCTCTGCTAATGCTATTTGGACAACAGCCTCTATAACCCCTTCTATACTAATGATCACATTACAGGGTGTCCCAAAAGTCTTGTAGTCTGATACTTTCCCCGGTACTTTTCGGTCATCCAAACCATGTTTTTAAATAGGACCTTATAAAATACGTTTTTCAGTCTGAGAGCAATTTTTCACAGATTCTACAGGACTGCCTTTCTGTCACGTGTCAGGAAGAAATTGAACTTTTGGTGTATTTTGACATGTTTTTTCCGAAATCATTTCCGCGGAGGTGAAAGAGCATTTGTGATCAACTAAAAGCTGTATGACTGTTTTCGATAAGAGCAAAACAATCTAGAACTTATCAGAACATCTATCAGCAATGATTCGTTTTTCTCTCTAAAATTTTTTTGCATGCGAATTTAGCCAGGAAAGTCTACAAATCGCGGCTCGCTGCTGCTCAGATGATGGAACCTTGGCGCACTTCTCTATTATGGGAAAGTTCAATCCTCTCGGTAAAACCTGTTAAACATTTTGATAATCTGTTAGATTCTTTTGACACGTGGCAGAAGGTCGACACTCTTCCCTATGACTTGGGACAACAAGTATGATCAAGGGAAATAGAATATCCTTTTTTGGAAAAAAATAGGTCCGGATAACGGAAAAGCTTTTTTCCGTTGAACACAGAACGGAGTAACTTAGAAATATAAAATTTGGCGCACACATTTCTCAGCCAACGACAAATGTACCTAATTCAGCATCAAAATTTTGTGATAGCATCTTTTCTTGATGACACAAAGCCTCCAAACTGTTAGCGATTGCCACTGCCGTGGCAAGCACGTAATCATCATAAATTTCGTCCTACGCCATTACAGTTCTTATCGCTTAAAAAATGGGTATGATAAGGCAAGCTTCCAGATACAGCACGCTATAAAGAAAATTTTGTGTCAAATTTAAGATCGAAATGATCGAGCTTTGGCCGAGAGCATGATGCAATTTTGAACATAATCGCGAGAAGGAATCATAGGACATCGATCTCGACGTGGTTTCGAAAGTGATTTCATCAGCCGTGCTAAAAGTAGACTCTCATCTGAAACACGTAAGGAGAGAATATCACTTCAGATACAGTAACTGTTGCAGTGTTTGAATCCAAGTTCACAGACATAGTGGTCTTGACATTCAAAGTCTCCAGATTTTTTCTCCGCTTCTTCAATGATTTAGATTTTTGAATGCAGTCATTACAGTGATAGTAGTTTGAAGCCTCCTCTATACTGTGTACATGAACTTGTACCAAAATATTCCAATTTCTCCGGTTGCGGAATGAATTGTAGACCCATAAAAATAGATCTATCTCAAAAAGTAATGGTTTGATCCCCTTTACAAAATCTTTTTTAGATTCAGAACATGTATTTTTGTAAAGGATGAATGCAGCATATTTGTTATGAATTTGAACTCGGAACTAGGTGATTTATGAGTTGTGGCAGTGCTTTAGGCCAGAAGATTTTAGGGACCTCTGCATTTTCATATCATTACCACAATGTCCCTTTCAGCGAAATGATTGTTTCAATGTACGGCGAAGTTTACCTTCACTTTATATTCTTAGGACTTTTTGTTGTCAACACAGAACACTGAAACACGTAGTATAAAAACCTGTACACTTTTGTTCGCGTGGTTTTCTAGGTTATAAGTTGACGGGAACTGGTCCAGATGTAGAATGTCACTCTAATACATAACGTATTACATTGTGCCATCAAAATTGTTGTAGCGGAAGTTTTGTTGAATCGAAATCCTTTCAAATGCACAGAATTGAACTTGATGAGCAGCACATTTTTGTTCTTGGGAAAATAGAAAACTGAAACTGTGACCCACACAGTATTTCATTTCTACGCTCAAGGCGTTTCTTGAAAAAACACATTGAGAAGTTAGTAATACAGCGGAATGAACAAGAAACGTAAAACAAATGCAGACATCATTTCAATCGAGTCTAATCCTAGTCAGGTTAAAGTAAGAAAAATTAAACAGCTTGCATTGACTATGTTGATAGGCTAACAGATATGTATACAAATGTAGGCATTGATAGGCACTGATATTTATAACTCCACACCTTATAACTCCAAGTAGATGGGACCTATGCCCTTCTCTTTAGCATGTTTATGGTGAAGGATGCTAAAAGCACTTATAGAAGATTTTACAATGCGAAACGCAACTTTCTGAGCGCCAGGATGTTTTCTTATAAGCTACGTTCCCCATCCCGGTGGGAAGTGATTGCAAGCTGCAAATGCAAATTTCTTCTGGATTTCCCAAGCTATTTGAGAAAGTAGAAGTGTGTCGTTATGCCATTATCATTTTTTCATTTTGGAAAGGAAGTTAATGAGCAGCTCATAAGTAATCGATAGTTTTGTGCGAAAATTTTGTACAAAAGCAAATGGGGAAACATTATTCAGCAGATGGCATCGCTTAGCACCATTATGTCAGTGTGTAGAAAAGCACACATTCGACAGATGTCTTATAAAGTAATCAAATTTCTATGACAGTTACCAGTCTGTACATAACACTCAAACCCTCAGAACAGGGAACTTATGTACATTAAATTGACCACTGAGCCTTACGGTAAGCAGTAGGCGAACTCGTTCGATGCTCAGTAGTTGGTGGCGGTGTCATAATGCAGTCTTGCTTTTTGAAGCCAAAGTAGGCATTTTGTTTAAAAACATTATTGTATTTCAGCCACCGATCTACAATGACCCTAAATACCAAGAATCAAGACAATTCATGGTCGTGGGACCTCAGCCCCGACTCTGTTTATCTTGAAGAGGTGAAAAAATGCATTTTTTTCTGCATTCGTCAAAATTTATTGCTTTTTCTCTTCAGTTTGTTAATAGCGTGTATTTTAGCGCCACAGCATGCGCCTAAACCGACTGATGGAATCAACTTTTGATAGAACAAAAACCATTACGAGAACTAACGAGGACGAGGCTGATCCAGATTATTCATGTCTTAGATTTGTTCATGTCTCATCATTCATCCCATTTCTCATGCTTGTACCCATCATATCCCCGTCATCCAATTGTTTTATTCCTGTAATTGAATTGAGTAACTATATGAATTCCATGAGCATTCAATTTTGGCTGATCAAGCATGCCCGCGTATTGTTCACTGCTATCGCATACATTTTATTCCTTCAAACCTGTACATATATTATGCATTCATATCTATGTATACATGTTCAGTTTATTTATCAAAGTACTTAGTGATTTTACTGGCAGTTATTTCAAGTTATCTCGTCATATGATGCATTAGTTACTATGAACTTCATTGTATTCATTAGTTCATACACACGTCTTGTTGATATCACATTTGAATGTAAATACCTTGTTGTTGTTGACTTTGAGTTTGTGAATTTTGTAAGTACTACCTAAGCTAATAGTATTGCATGCCAGCTGTCAAAGACAGCCTTATCCTGTAAATACTGTATTTTTGTTGCGATTTGTGTTAAAACCTGTCAAATTTGAAAATTGTAGATATTATACTTGATAAAACAGTTGTTAAACCATATTGTCCAACAAGCATTAGATATTCAGACCGACAACAAAAATTCGAGCAGATTCCAGCCAAAATTTTCCTCGTAGCGCGCAGGCGGCGGGCCTTCAATCCATAGGCGGCGCGCACTGCACACACAGGCGGCGGGAAGGTACATCGCTCGCTGATTCAGTGCGCGCCGCCTGCGCGCAGATTTGTCTGAGTATTTACAGTGTTTCCTGAGAGTATCGTACGGCACAAGTCTTGTTTTCCGAAACACAACGAGGCGTCTGAGCAGCACGTTTACAAAACTTAAGAAGGTGCGTTTTATACGCGTGAAATTAGGGTGATAACAATCACGGTTCAAAATATTGGTGAATGTTTTTAGCACTGCTTGATGCACGCCCCAGCAGATTCAGTACTTGTTTTCTAGGTTTTTCATGTACTTGGAGAAGGCCAAAGTACATCGCAAGAACAACTTGGTCCGAAATGTGGTCGACACCTAATTTTTTGATGGATACAAAGTACAGAGTACAAGGTATCGAGCCTCTTCAAAGCCAAAAGTTCTACAGATTGGAAAAATGAAACAAAACAAACTAGCTTGGATTTTTTCCCCCTTTCAACTTATAGTTAATGTCAAACTTTATCTGAACAATTGTCAAAAGTTTTATCAAAAGATAAAAAAAAGGTCCGTGGCTTAACCTGGCTGATAGCAGCATGAATTTATCTGTAGCAAATACTTGCGAATTCATTTTGATGAGATCAACTCTATCTTATGATCCGAAACTGTCAAAAAGAAAACAAGTTTATATAGCAGACCTGTGAGGAATCTTCATATAACAATTAACAATGACAAAATGTAACTAAACAAAACTAGTATCTACACTATGAATGTAACAAAACTATAACGATGAAAAAATGCAACAAGATAAGCGCCTAAATGAAAACACCGAGGAGATCTTGCTCTCGGAAGATTGAGTACTCTTTCTCTTCCACAATAACCTGGAACGATGTAATCTTTTGCAAAATACTATTGCCCTTCTCACTGAACGGTTGCTTCAAACACAATAAAACGAGCAAATAGGAACACTCACTTTAGTGCCGCCATATTCCGGCAAAAGAACGTGGTCACCGGCTTTCACACTCATTGGAATGAGTTCACCTTTTTCGTTACGGCCACCCGGGCCGACTGAGATCACTGTAGCTTCAAGAACCTAAGAAAGGAATATTTAAAAAGAAAAGCTCAAAGCACAGCTACCAAGACTCACTTTGCCCTGCGCTTTCTCAGGAAGCATGATACCACCCTTCGTTTTCGTCTCTGCAGCAACTCGCTCAACTAAGACTCGATCATGAAGAGGTTTGAATGATCTCAAAAGATCGCCTCCCTGGAATACGTAGAGGTGACATTGTAAGAATTGACAAACTAATACTGAACATATGTTAATCAGACGGGTGTATGCCAAGATGAACGATAGCTGGCAATAAGCATACTGTACTCCAACGGTTGTCAGTATGTCTCACATTAAGTCTTAATTTTTGAAGCTGTATGTCCTAAACTGGATTGAAAATGGTGTCGAACAGTAAGAATTAGGGCATATAGAGCTTCTAGTGTTTTTTCCAATTTTCTAGATATCATCATAGTGGAAATATGGAATTTGAAAAAGATTTGACCTACGCAGCGCATATGGCTGGCACAACCTATCGTTCATGTTGGCTGCCCCCCTAATCAGACGGTAAACACAAAAAGCGCAAGTTTTTTGCAAGCTACTATGTCTGCCATTGCTTGTTTTGATTAACGCATCTGTTAAATGAATCTTATACTGTGATTTTCGTTTTTGATTCAAATAAGCGTTCGACAATTTAGATACGTTTACAACCTGCACCATAAAACTGCTAATGATTTGTACCCCCATAAGGCCTCGGACAGACTTCACGCGATTTGATCGTCGCGACTGAATCGCGACGAGACAACTGTTACAACATCATTCCATGCCGATCAACTTGCATTTCAGTTGTGATACTTTTCCAGCCGCCGATCAACTTGCATTTCAGTTGTGATACTTTTCCAGCCCGAAATTTTTGAATTGAAATAAAAATTAATGGAAATGTCGGCGATTGAGTCGCGACGATCATCGTGAAGTCTGTCCGGGGCCTAAAGCAAAAGAAAGAACCTTATGATCGTCCCTTCACTCTTAAAGACCCGTCATACTTCGGCGAAAAAAGGCCAAAAAAGCCCAAAAGCGCCAGAAAGAGCCGGAACGCCCCCTTCCGCGCGCACGTTTTGGCGCTAAGGCATGTGTTTCATTTCACAATCGAGTCTTCTTGATTCATTTTCTGCCGTCTGTACATCAAAATAATGTCAGCATTCCACCAAAAGTTCGTTGCTGCGTTCTGGCTCTTTCTGGCGCTTTCGGGCTTTTTTGGGCTTTTTCGCGCTTTTCTGGACTTTTTTCGGCGAAGTATGACGGGTCCCTTAAAGGTGAGGCAAATTTGGAAAATGGCCCACCTAAGTGATAAAAACGCAAGCGACTTGTTCTCACCTGTGTATGATTTCAATGACCTTTCACACTTATTTAAAGTTTAAATCAGCTTTGCAAATACACGCCTCCTTTCACAAAATTTCAAGATGACACGCTCGCGAAAACTCCCCTTTCTTCGACAAAAAATTGCATTCGAACTTTCCGCTCCCCCCCCCCCCCCCAGAACAAATCTCTTCTTACATCGCCACTGACCATAGCACGAATGTGGCTATAGTCATAAACTTGGGCAACAACTACAAACAGCTAAAATCAATGTAGAAAAGTGCTATACTTCTTGTAGATGGACTGGAACCTACGCGGTACATCAAAGGCAGGCATTGACAGCAATGCTGGTTGAGATGTTTTTTCCGGTGCGGATTGCTTTCAGTCACTGGGAGATGAATTCACAAAACTTTCGCTGATTAAAAATGGCCGTACCCACTTCCACCGCTCAAAATTTGTGGGCCGTGGGTATAAGTATAACTGCAGTGTAACTCATTCAGCCATAACTTTCCACACAGTTCAAAAAAATCTGGACGTTTTGTACAAAGCTATGGATGAACAGAAAAGAAGATGATATAAGGACTTCCTCAAAATTCTTTTTTGACGAGAAGATATATTAGAAAAAATTACGGCTACTTTGTTGCCTGGCTTCGGATAACTGAGCTATATACTTACTGACCACAGCAGTAAACATACCCGACTTTTTTCTCGTAGTAAATACTAGGTGCACTTCAACCGCATACTCAACGCGCAGGAGCTTTTATGCAAAGGACAAGTATTTCTCAAACTTTACTTCATCAAAACACCCATAGATGTACGAGCTTGCAGTTCCCGTTGTAACCGACTGCCATGAAAAGAAAAGCTGAAGTAAAAAAAACTCACAACAGCTCGTCGAATGGCGCTGAGGAACATCGTTTGCCCACGACAGTTCGAGTAGAGAAATGAGCGCGGCGGTGGCGCCGCTGCCCTTCGCCAGCCGAATGGGCGGACCCAGCCAATGACAGTCGGCTTCTCGAACCTTCCGCCTCCGATTCAACGGCAGCCCGTTCAAAGCCGTGCACTTGCATCACTTCTTGTGTCGCCGTACGGGCAGTCATTTTTGCGAGGAGGTCGCATTTTTGTTTACAAGGAAGTTCTTGGTTTTTGTTAGTTTTGAGGGAGATATTTGGCCTCCTGTTGACGGCTTTGCTTTTTTCTTTATCAGTTTGTTCTAGGTGTGATTTTGTTGGTGCCGAATTTCTAATCGATAAGTTGATATGTTGTACTGCCTGGGGTCAAAGTCTTCATCAAAGAGTTTTCCTCCAAAATTTATGTCGTCCTTCATAGTATTATTTGCACTAGACGTTCAAAACACTCATAACGTTAATTATCACTCATATCTTTCGGTCCTCTCGTTTTCCTTACTATAGTTTTTCAAGCGTCTGTGTATTCCAAGTCATATACGAATTTGTTCTCTGTTATTGGAAGTTATATACGAATTTCTGTTCTTTGTATCTCCAGCGTTGCCCTTTCTTTGTACTTCTAAGTTTTTCTGAGCATTCTTGCGATAGCGATATTGATAGATCTTGTTCATGGCGTATCACTTTCTTTAATCGCTACAAAAAACTACGTTTTCGTTGCAGATCTAAAAGATGCTGCGCTTGGCCAGGTCTAGCATTACTCGTAACCTCGTCCGATGTTATGCTAAAGACATCAAATTTGGAGCAGAAGGCCGAAAGGCTATGCTTGTTGGTGTTGACTTGCTAGCTGACGCTGTCTCAGTAACTATGGGTCCCAAGGTTCGTAGATTTCTTCTTCTTATTTGAAATTGCATCATTTTTTTCTCATTCAAGGGCAGAAATGTGATCATCGAACAGTCATGGGGAAGCCCTAAAATCACCAAGGATGGAGTTACAGTTGCCAAATCTGTTGATCTTAAAGACAAATATCACAACATGGGAGCCAAGCTCATCCAGGTAAGAAAAATTTTTTCAGAAGCCAAGCTTCTGAGTGATCAATAGGCAATTTAGGATGTTGCCAACAAAACCAATGAAGAAGCTGGTGATGGTACCACCTGCGCCACCATTCTTGCCCGATCCATCACGAAGGAAGGTTTCGAGAACATCAGCAAAGGCGCTAACGCAGTTGAAATCCGACGAGGTGTGATGGCTGCTGTAGATTTGATTGTCAACGATCTCAAGAGTCAAAGCAAGAAGGTTGCTAATTACTTTCGCCCTCATTTAGTCAAGCTTTTCTAATCGAACTCTCTTTAGGTCACTACACCAGAAGAAATTGCTCAAGTAGCCACAATATCAGCAAATGGTGACCAGGCCATCGGAAATCTTATCTCGGAAGCCATGAAGAAGGTCGCGGTTTCTTATCATCATTGCCATTTATAGAAACTATGAAAACATGTTTAGGTAGGAACAAAAGGTGTAATCACTGTGAAGGATGGAAAGACGTTGCACGATGAACTAGAGCTTATCGAAGGAATGAAATTTGACAGAGGGTACATTTCTCCATATTTCATCAACACATCGAAGGGAGCAAAGGTAAATCATGTTTGGGAACTCCTTGTCATAAAATCTGAATCTTATTTTGCAGGTAGAGTATGAAAAGGCTCTAGTGCTTCTGAGCGAAAAGAAGATCAGTAATGTACAAGATATTGTCCCAGCCCTTGAACTTGCCAATAAGCACCGGAGACCACTTGTTATCATTGCTGAGGATGTGGATGGGGAGGCACTCACCACATTAGTTTTGAACCGATTGAAGGTAAAGACCCTATTTCCTGTTGTAGTTTCTGGAAGTGTTTGCTGCAGGTCGGCCTCCAAGTTGTTGCTGTCAAAGCACCCGGATTTGGTGACAACAGAAAGAACACGTTGAGAGATATGGCAATTGCTACCGGCGGTACTGTCTTCGGAGATGACTCAAACCTTGTCAAATTGGAAGATATTCAATTGAGCGATTTCGGCGAGGCAAGCATTTGTATTTTAGTTTTTCTTCTAGTATTTGCAGATCTCATAGTGAATTCGTTTAGGTTGAAGAAGTGACCATCACCAAAGATGACACTCTCCTTCTACGTGGCAAAGGAGATCCTGCTGAAATTGAAAAGCGCATTGAACAGATAGCTGATGAGATTGAACAATCGACCAGTGAGTACGAGAAGGTTTGTTTTTACACTTTTCAGAACTTTACCCATTTGAGTAATCGTTCTGTGGTTTCTAAAAGTTTTTCTGCAGGAGAAATTCAACGAGCGATTGGCGAAACTATCGAAAGGTGTGGCTATGCTGAAAGTTGGAGGCGCCTCAGAAGTTGAAGTGAATGAAAAGAAGGACCGAGTCACCGATGCTTTGTGCGCTACTCGAGCTGCTGTAGAAGAAGGAATCGTACCTGGTGGTGGTGTAGCTTTACTACGATCTCTCAAATGTCTCGAAAGTTTCAAGGTTTGTTAGGGCACAAGGAGCTTTCGTCAAAGATACTAAATTTGCAGTTTGCAGGCACCCAATGACAACCAACAACTAGGAGTGAACATCGTGAGAAAGGCTGTACGCGAACCCATATGTGCGATTGTAAAGAATGCTGGAATTGAACCTGCCTCCATTGTTGAAAAGGTGCGACACATCATTTCAGAAAGAAGAAATTCATCCCTAAACCTAGATTTTCAGATTCTGTCCAACAGCAAGGCGTCGTACGGTTATGACGCCATGAATGACAAATTCGTCGATATGTTTGAAGCTGGTATAATCGACCCCACCAAGGTTAGTTCGTTGTTTTTTACGGGTTCCATTCATTTGCAGCAGTGATCTGTCTAGGTGATTCGAACGGCCCTTCAAGACGCTGCTGGTGTAGCTTCATTGTTAGCGACGACAGAATGTGTAGTCTCAGAACTACCAAAGGAAGAACCAGCACCAGGAATGGGTGGAGGTATGGGTGGCATGGGAGGAATGGGCGGAGGAATGTACTAAGCTTTCTCGATGTGACATCCAGTTAGGTGCTGCTGCTACTTTCCTGTCACCTTTCCACTTGTTATGTTGTTCATATCTGCGCTCATTTTGTTGTACGTTGTAGACTAGTTGATTTTAGTTGTTGAAATAGTTAGGTAGTTTTTGTTATTATTGCATGTTAACTATAATCACGTTATAATTATGAGAAGACCGATGCATCTCAGAATATTGTTGATTTTTATTTTTGCAGACTTTTCAATACAAAAAATGAACTAGCATTTATTAAAATCACATCTACCGGTTCAGACACAACGGGGTCGAGAAATATATGTCAATCAATATAATCAATTTGGACAAGTGGGGAGCAAATTTCTCAGAGATCGGTGGAGCACCTATTCCTAATGTTCCTAATGTTTTAACCGCAGAACTTCCGCTTCACCATGAAGAGTCGACGGTCTTCCGTGTACATCCTCCGCTCTTTTGAGAAAGGCATCGACCATAGCTTTCACCACTACAACATGCGCCTATTTATAGCAAGGCATTAGGAAGCTCAAGAAACTCACCTTTATGGAAGAAAAGATGGGCAAGAGTGGAGTGCAACGCATATTTGAATTCGAAGACTAGATCGTAGTGAAGCGTGCATGTGTGTTCGTTACCTGGAAGTCCTCTTCCAAAGCGGAACGTCGTCTCTAATTTATGGAAAATCGAATCACCAATTACAGCCGACTGAAATTCAAACAAGGGGCAGAATGATACCGAGGATTCCCATTAAATATGTGCTTCATAAGAATAAGGAAACAACTACTAACATCATTACGGTATTTTCCAATCATTCGGAGAGATACTCAAATTTATCGAAAACTTCAAACATACGTGGACAACCGTAGGCCGCACAAGTATGATTCGACTTTGATAGCTTTCTCGAAGTGGTGGAAATCCGATTTCAAGCTTTGCTATCCGTGCGTTTTTGTGCTCCTCGAGGATTTCTGAACGTCGACACCAAGGTATGAAATGTCGATATTCTCCAACATCAGCAACTACATCAAACATCTGTTCTCGTGAAAACCTGAATCAATGCAACTACTTTTTGAGTGCACATTTATGTTGCAGTCAAAGCACTTGATCAATTTACAAAATGAGAAACTACTCAACAAAGGATCGAAATCATTTTCTAACTAGTCATGTAATTTCCATCACTGTACTCTTCTTATTTGGTATGTATCCTTCTTCATCTTTGATCCCTCAGTTGAACGGAAAGCCATTGGTTCTGAATACCGCACACATGAAGCAGGTTAGAATTTGGATCTCGTAGAGCGGATGAAGGGCAAAAAACAATTAGCGACTACTGAATTGTCCTCAAAACACAATTCAAACATTATGTGAACCCATGACCTGCTGGTCCACAAAGTTTTTCGCATAGTTTTCGTCTCGTTCCAGCCTCATTGATGTATCACACTTTTCTTCTGCAAATGCCCGCAAGTGCAAATTGTCTCCTATCACTCCAAGCACACAAAAAGTTCTGCTGTAACAAGCACTTTGCGAACCAAACGTTGAAAAGAACTTTGCGAAGGCTATCGATCGTCTACCAAGTGCCTTCTGTACTCCAACTTGATAGTGAGTCAGGTGCGACAAGAGGGAAACCGTTATAGGCTGCATCCGAAAGTGATTCTACGTCCACGCTGAACCAAGTAAGCTTGAGAAAGCTGCACATACAATTTCACTCAGATCATCACTCTTGCGCTTAGGTGGCATGGTTGTCCAAAGATCCAGATGGGTTCGGCTCGCTTGACGGCACGCGAAAACGTGATAATTTTTACCTTCCAATGTGTGACCGGAAGAACCACAGCCATTTCTACAAACTATTGAGAATGTCTTCCAATAATCTTAAATGTCTTAAATACGATCGTTGTCAACCGAGTGCTCCCTTTTCCGTAGCTGCTAAGCGTCCGCATCGCAAAGACCTAGCGCTGCGACTTCAGTCGACGAGGCAAGTTTTGAAGCGCAAGCTATACGCGCGCTTGAACGGCGCGAGGTCTGCGGTTGCGATATGGCTGGTGGAAAGGGGAGCACAAGGCTGACACGATGTGTAGGTGCTTAGGATTTCCAGCAGCTTTGGTTTATTTCCTTGCATGCAAATTAGTAAGCGAATCCAAGGAAAATACAGCCTCGTTTCCAGCAATGCACTCTGGCAGGCTATGCAGACAAATTTTGCATTTGAAACAATTGTATATACTATATTTGGGCATTGGCAGCATAACTATTATAAAATGAAATGAACAAACCAACCCGATGAGGCGTTTTTCGGCATAAGCCATCTCCTGAGTACCACCGAATAGTCGTTTAGGTATAAAGAAGGTTGGAGGTAAGCGGAAATTTAACCTGGGTACCATGGTAAACTACTACTCTGGAACACTAAACCTGAAACTGTTTTTGACTGATCAAGACATTCTTAACACATTAGGAAAATAAATATCACGAGATGTAAGGATAAACCGGAGCTTGAAAACCTGAGAAGGAATCAGCTTCATTTATTATTGATCAACTTCATTGGCGCCTATTATAAACTCTGAACAAGATCAAACAATAATGGGCAGTCAACTGTCATATTGTGCATCTTCATAGTCCAAATCAGTCTCGATGTAGGTAGTTCCAGAAAGATCTTCAAAGGGAACATTCTCATACGTAATGGGCTCATCCACTTCTTCCCTGGAAAAGTATAGATACGACTTCTAGTGAGAGCAAGCGGTCTAGTTGCCGTATTCAGAATGTCAGGATGAACCTTTGCTGAAATCTTATTGACCTGATTTTGGCAACATCCCTAACAAATATCACTGACAGAATCTTGAACATCGGACAGACAAAATTAGCTCGGTGATAATTGTCATTATGTAAATGTGAAAATAACACACTCTTCTCCGGAACATTGAGCGATTCGCATAGCAGCTGGTGCCAAAGGGGATATGACTGCAGTCCGCTGATGCAAACATTGCTCGTTGTGAGCGGCACAAAGTGTCTTGTGTTTGCTGACCAAGTGTATGATCTTTCCCTAGAAAACATTAACTTTTGTGAAAAACATAACTTTCTGGATTCTTTGAAGGCGCTGTCTTCGAAGTTCCTCCTACAACTGAACCACTATAGGCACACACCATACTTGATCCACCAATGCACTACGCTATTGTCAAATCAGTGTGACAGCTGTTGAAGTGGATAGAGTATGGCATGTGCCATGTAGGGCTCGTTTGAGGCCCAATGGCATCCTGCGTGTGCAGTGGCCGCAAACTCACCGACTCTCGCGAACGCAGAGCCCTAATACACTGCATGAAATTCACAAGAAAGTGGCCGGTCAATTAACGTACTACAATGGCCTCCTAAAGGCTGTGCGATTTACAAAACTCACTAGCGAACAGATCTCGCGCTTGATAATGACGAATGAGTTGAAATATCAAGAAAAAAAACATTTTTTAGAACGAAACAACTGACAAAATAAACCACAATAAACAGTTACCTTGACATTATTCATTTGTACTCCACACACAAAACACAAAGTATCATAAGCGGATTTTGCAGCCAAGTCGTGATGAGAATAGGACATATGAAAAGCCAGCACCTATGATAAATAAATACTGAGCTCTGGAATTTAGACAGCGAAGAAGGAGATTTGGTATTGGCTTACCGGTATAGAATCAAAGACCCGACCGCACATGGGGACGCAACAAGTAGTCCTGCCTATGTCGCATTCTCCTATGAGTCGGCTCAGCCTTTGCTTCATGAGCAGCAAAGTGCTAGACTCGCTCCCAATTTCAAGTTGCTTAGAACATTCTTTCTGAAATTGAATCAAGATTACGATTCTGATAGTGACACTCTTAAAGACTATGAAAAAAAAAACTATGTTCATTCCCCAGATATGGTCATGCTAACACACAGCAAACTTGCTTCAGCGCTATCAACGTTCGAAACAATAGGTGATACGTCAGAAAATTAAATTTCCACTAAGGTCACTTAAGGAAATGATCCCAACTCAAGGCAGCGAACTGGAACAAGCCGCATATCATTAAATGCGTTTTGACGAGTTGGTTCCAAAACTACCTTTCATATCTGCGATGCGCTTTAAAAAACTTTCGGGCGTTCATAGCTTTCTAATTTGGGAGACATTAAGCGCCAACCTTCAAATTTTGTTATTCAAAAACACTTATTTGTGTATCCGGTAGATGTGGGCATTCCTTGAAATGATAACAATCAATATCGAATATATATCATGCTAGTTATGCACTCCCGGGTCGGATTTTGATACACGTTATGCAATGAAACCACAACTTCACACTTTAAACCGCTCAAAGTTCTTCCAAAAAACGCCATCGCAGATGTGGAAGATAGATTTTGCAATCAGCTTATCAAGATGCATCTAATGATAGATTCATTCCAGTTCGTCACCTCAAGTTAAGATCGCTCCCTTGTTAGATACCGAAAAACCTGCCTTTTGTCGCATCCTTGCCTTGTATTTTTGAGCTACCTCACTGACGTAAGCATGCGCAGCTTCAAAGCCGGTGCACGATACATTTCTTGGCCTATCCACCTGCAACATTTTGAGGTAGTTCAATATACGTCAGTATTCACTTGGAGCAAAAGCCAAATGTTCTGTTTTCTACACTTTCCAGTTAATTATTGACTCTAGTTTGGCTAAAATAGTGTAACAGATATGCTAAATGAGATCTGGTAACACGCAAATTCGACACGATCGGAGAATTAGGAAAGACGCACAGAGATAATGCAGATTATAACTCACGCGATATTCCACAGTTACCCCACGTGTATGGTATGGGTGGGCAGCAGCACTTGTTCGCGATTTCAAAGGCACTGTAACCACCCGTTTATAGTAACATTACCAAATGCACTAGCTGTCTACTAGTTCCCATGAAAGTTTTTAGATAGAGCACTCTCAGCGATACGGCACAGAAAGTTCAATAAACTGCACACACATCACGAAAGTAAGTGAGATGAATAGTGAATACAAACAAGGACACACCTGCTCTATTCCGGATAACATCTCTGGAAGTCGATGGTGGAAACACAGTACGATATGCCATGATAAGCTAGAAGCAAAGTCCCAGGCTTAGAGAAGCAATCAAAAAAGAATGATATTTGCTCGAAAAATATCGGAGGGTTCTCAAAGGTACAAGAGACGGAGATTTTATGCAAAACAATATGAAATGAGATACAATTTCATCGAATTTAAACAATTATGTACACTCAAGACGGACCCGTTAGCGATTCTACTCCAGCATTTCTGTATCTCCAAAGTGCTTCTCCATTATATTGGTGAGCTCTCGATGTAAGTCCAATTCGGCAGCTTCAGCCAATGCGATATTTTGTTGGGACGCAAAAGTAGACCCTCAAATTAAAACATGATTTCGAAAAGCTAAGGAAAAGATAGTTGATGATCTTGGCTATCCTCGCTCACTGCAATCGACCTTCAGAACTGCTAGAATTTTTCACAGTAAGCACCATACCAAGTGTTATAGTGTGATATTGGAATCAAGCAAGTTGAATACCATATTATGGGCTAGAAAACAACATTTAAGAAGATTAACATTACCTAGAGCTCACACCAGTTCTCCTAGATACTGATTTCAAGAACTCGAATATGAATATTACCATTCGTCAACCTCAATGCAGTTTGAAAGAAAAGCGCTCAATTTAAAATGAAAAATTTCAATCAGAGCCCATTTAGCAGACAGCGTAGGCACACAAACAAATACGCAATATTCTTTCTTATGAAAGCAGCCGACGCAATTATGCAAGGGTGGATTTCAACTTTACATTGACCTAGATCAATGGAAGTGAGTATCCGACATACGGATAAACCTCATCCCAAAATGAAACAAACACTTGAGCAAGAGAAGCGGCCGAGCATACATCACGCGACTTCATCGCCTCGCGATTTTTTCAACAAGACAACTGGTACGTATTCATTGTATGCTGATCCTCTTCCAGTTCGGTTGTGAAAGTTATTCGCGATTAGTAGTGTCGGAAAACTATCAAACCGAAATGCAAGATGATCAGCATGCAATGAACTAGTAACTGTTGTCTTATTCAGAGATTCGCGAGGCGGTGAAATCGCTTGATGTATGCCCAGCCCTAGAGACGCACCTTGATTATAATTGCTTCATAAAAAGAGATTACGACCACAAGCCCTCACACATTGACAAGGACTGAGACGAAGTATACCTTGATGGGCAGAGCCAACGCAGACGTTGGAGAGATATAACATCTGTTCAGACAGCTCCTTTTCAACCTGCATCAAGGTTTTTTTGAACGCTTGTGATGATTCCTCCATTTTCGTCTGAAGAAGCTAATCATTAGCCACTATAGTGTGATACAACATCTGCAACAGACTTTACTAATTTGCTTCTCTTTGGACAATTCCGATATGCAGGTTTGCGCATGCCGCAGCAGGTTACCAATAGACTTCTCCACTTCGGTAATTGCGTTCAATCGCTGTACGAGATCAGAACCAGATCCCCTCATGGAAGTCATGACTACCTTTAACGAGGGATGATTTTGAGCTATTCATGATGTTTTTAGGCACAGAAGCAAACTCGGGAATCTACCGTATGCACATAAAAACTACGTTGTAGTCTCCATTTATTCGCATATGATACAGAAAGCTAACGAGAAAATAAATTTGAAAATAGATTAGAAGAATAACATAGCCTCGTTGGGAACATACACCAAATTGCATGATATTATTGCTCCTGCGCAGATAAAATAGAAACGTTATAACCGAGAACAGGAGTATACGATCACAGAAACTTCAACTTGTTATAAGACTGAGAAGGCACTACACTATAAAACATTTGCTGGGAAAGGACTAGAAGATATCAACACTACTCGCGCCAAAGCACAAGCGATTGGGCTTGCTCATGTACTGTATGGCGTAAAGTAAAAGCATCGTCAATTTTGAAAATGCGTCAACATCAAGTTAATTGTGACAAAAATGAGGAACATAGAACAAGCGAAGTGAATCGTCGAACGCAGTGAAGTACAAAATAAGAATGATAAGTTGTGAGACATAAGGTAAGGAAGTAATGAAACAAAACACTTTGTGAGGCAAAAGGCACTAAACTATTAATGATTTTTGAGAATAAGTAATGTTCACAACGCACGTCCTGATGGAATAGGAGGAGGAGGGAGACTTGATAGCGGCTTGAACGTGAATCTGAAATGATTGCATGAATGACAGTCATGCTAGATGGCCTTAGCCACTTATACATTACGCTAAGGTTTGGAAAAGAAAAGAAAGAAAAAAGAAAAGATAAATGAGAGCATCAAAAACAAGATCTAAGTGTATGTTTACAATGGATATAACTTACCGGTCAAGGGGATGAGCATCTTTTGGTGGATATTTTGGCATTACCATGGGCGGCGGTGGAGGTGGACTCGCAACTGAGCTAGCCACCTTGGACGCTCCTCGCGGTGGAGGTGGTGGAGCACTTTCATCTGTTCGTGAAACAGCTGGCGAGCTTCCAAATCTTAAAAAAGCGAAAAATAAAATTGACGAGTGGAAGTCATGAATGTGCAAAAAAATTGAGCGTTAGAAATAGGATAAATTGAATATACCTGCTGGTAAGGCCTGAGGCTATAGGTCCCACGGATGGTGGTGGAGGCGGGTCTGGAGGATGTACACCATTAGTACGCACGATGGGCGGTGGCGGAGGAGGAGCTGTTGGTCGTGCTGGTGGATGAAACGATGGTCGAGAAATCGGAGCTCGTGCTGGAGTAGACTCACGCGATGATACGTCCTAAAACAAGAGTTGCAAAGAAAGATTGTGACATTGCAGGGAAGGTGACTGTAAGGAATTTTCCACACCATGTGGTCCACTCCATCCCTTATTTGTTCTTATTTTACACGACGCTTCAACTGGCCACTTTTCTTTCGTTTTTCAGAATTCACATTTCGTAATTCCTATCCATTTAGAGTAAAATCCTACCAAAAACTCGATATAGAATCGGCTCTCCCCTCCCCCTACCATATACTAAGCGATTGTTCGCATATGTACATATAATGCCGCACCTACCTCTGAGCTACCACTTCTTCTTAGTTTTGAGTTCGTGTAACTCATCTCTGGTTTGAATGGTCGCATAGTTTTGAATTGATCACGATTACTAGAAGTAGACCCAATCTGAAAAGAGTGTTTCACAAATACCCTCGACAGGATGACGAACTTACGTTAGGTTTTTGGACGGGAGGTGGCGGTGGCGATGGCTTGCTGTTTGCCATAAGCTCGGAAGGTTTTGGTGGTGCAGGTGGAGCACCATGATTTGACGGGGATGAACGAGCTGAGCATTGAAATTCAGGAACATAAATAAGAACTCTGAGGCATTATGCGACCGGTACGATGTAAGAAAGCAAAAGCAAAGATGGAGGCAAGTGTAAGCTGTAAACGTAGATTGATGCCATAGACAGTAAAACAGCTTATGAAATTGTTAGAAGGCAAATCTAAATACCAAAAAAGTACCGTCTGAATTCTGTTTTGGTAGACTTGGCGGCGATGGAGCTGGAGGTGTGATGGCCGTCGTATGTGCTCTGCGAATTCGATTTTCACTGGGTTTCGACGGCAGACCATTTGCGAAAAGACCTCCTATAGGAGCTGGCCCTGCGCCACCGAAAGGACGACCAAGACCAGAGCCTAAGGTAAAATTTGTAGTTTGAACCAAAAGAGCAAAAAGCAACTACCTGGTTTTGGTTCACGTTCGAGCTGATTTATACTGACTCCTCCACCAACATGCGACGAAGTGGGTTTTCCTCCAACCAGAGGAGCAGAACGGTCATTAGTGACAACTTTTTTGAGAGCAGTTCCTCTCTGAAAATGTTTGAATCAGAACAGATAAGGATTTTCATGCGAATAAAATAAAATCAGTATTGCCTTATTTCTTATTGTAGGAAGCTGTAACGTGAAATTCAAAACCGGAAATCCTGGGAAGGAAAAAAGCTCAATATTATATGTAACCTCACACTCCAACATATATGACAGAAATCACATGTATGACAAAAAACTCATCAAACTAAAAAAAAAGTCGCAATCCCATTACTCAACATGCAGATGAATGCGCTAAAAACATCCTGCACATATTACCAGTTCAAATGATGTATTACTGGAAGCTCTTCCAGATGCCCTTGCATTACCAAGAGTACTACCCTAAAGTCTTACAGATAAGTCCGCTTTTTGACAAGAAAAATCGATGAAAATGCACTCTCGCACCGCCAAGCATCTTGCAGATAAGTCCTCCCATCAGATAAGTCCTACAGATAAGTCCGGACTTATCTGTGAGATGTAGTTATAATGGAAAGAAAGCGGACTTATCTGAAGAGCCTTATTTGAGTTGAAAAAGGGAACTTATTTGACGGCGGACTTATCTGTAGACTTATTTGATGGGAGGACCTATCTGCGAGATTTTAGAGTAGTTTCGAGTTTCGCCATCCAGTCTAGTTGTATTGACTAGATTCAGATAGATCTGCACCTGACGCCAAAGGGACCGGCCATACTATTCCTGGAGGTGATTCCTGCGACTCCTGTAATTCCTGCAATTCCTGTGATTTTTCCACTTCCGATGTGCCGTACTGCGTAGCGCTTTGCGAACTTCAGCATACATTGTTTTTTCGCATATACATTGTTGCGGGACCCGCAGGAATCACAGGGATAGAGGGCCGGTCCTGAAGGGGTGGCGGTAAGACGTGAAGTCAGGCAGGTCTCAAAGTGAAAAGTGCAGGTGTTGGAACCGATTCAACACAGTATTGTGAATACGAGCTCAAAGCAAATCAATTATTTAAAAACAATGGGTTGAAGATTTTCCTTCTGATAAACGATAAGCAACTAGCGATGTAGACATTTTTGTTTAGAGTAAGCTTTGCATGCTATCCTGACAGCACCTTGCAGCTCCTTTCTACAACACCTTCGAGCGGCGCTCCGCCGAAATAAGACAGACTTTTTAAACCCCATGCGAATTTGTGCTGCTGTACTCAAAGTTTTCGTATGCGGCATACCATTCGAGATTCCTTTGCAAGCTCATTCTAACGATCGCTTAAGTGTGCAAAAACTTTTTATCAGTTTATATAAAAAAGGCATTGGAATTAAATGAGTGAAATATTTGGCGCAGATTTTCAGGGTAAAAAAACATGTTTCGCTTTTAACATTATTTCTCAAACCTGAGGGAATCTCGAATTGTGTTGCATATGCATGAACAAAGCGTAAAAAGCTCTATCAAATGTCGAGCGTCAAAGGTGACTTCATTCGATTACCTTGATGAAAAATAGATATTTGTCTTCTAATACTCAATGTTATATCTATTATTAAGCGCTGGGACCGCCAAGCTATCGTAGATTGTGAGAGTCCTCCCAGCAATGCGGCACAAATATTTTTGATAGTCACTTGTTTTACTTCGGCGGTACTGCCCAAAATTCGAAATTACTTGAAGTGACGAGCTTTGATTTTTAGCACTTACATAAGTAAATCTAGACCACGAGCAGAAGGTTATAATGTGTACCAGCGTCTGGAACTTGGATATCAAAAAGATTTTTCTGTTTGAGAAAACTGTTTATTAAGTGCCCCATTATTTTTGGACCAACCTAATATTAAGCCGACTATGTTGCGGTCCGACGCGACTACACTATTTTTCTAGAGTATGATGTTGAAGGTGTTAACTCAAGAATCAACTGCAGACGGCACTTTGAAGTCATAAGCATTATAGAGTGAGTTGCGCAACGACTTTGTCAAGATAAAGGAAACATCCACTGCCGAAAGTGGTCACCGGCATGTCCCCAACACAAATATCAAGATGCAAACAATACGACATTCCTGATGATAAAAATGTTTCGAAAAAGACTCTTTTTAGGAAAGAATAAGCTAGGCAAGATGAACTCGATAATATGCTAAATGAGATCGACAAAACGATTGTTCGTACTTCTTTTCGTGGAATGTGTTCGGTTTACTGCATTCTTGCAAATACTAAAACGCACCTGTATTTCAGCAAGCAAAGCTGCTGGTTTCTTGCCAACTGGGACTGAACTGCCTCCAGAACCTGGACCAATCAGGGAAGGTGGAGGTGGAGGTGGTGGCGGTGGTGGTGGAGGCATTGTTCTGCAATCGCCGTTCGATAAAAAAAATGTATCAAAAGCTCTTGGACCAACAATGGGCGCAAATCGGGGAAGCAAAGCAAGGAGAAAAGAAGAAGATCGCGGCAATTATGATTCACCCGGTGTGTGTGCAGCTGATTCAGGTAAGCCGAAACGCGAACTCGGACGGCTGCGCTCAACGCGACGACGCTCCGCCTTGACTGGATGTTCGATTTTCTACGCAGAAAGATGACAAAGTTGCGCATTTATTAATCTTATATTAACTATATGCTGATGCGGCGTGAAATATGCTTTGCGGATGTCAGTGAAGTGTACTTGCTCGGAAGGTCAACAACACTTGCGCGTAAAGATGGCAAAAGCGCAAAACTCGAAAAATCTGCATAGGCCGTTTTCTACGCGCAAGTAGTGCCGACAGTGCAGGCATCTTATTACCCTCCAGATGAGTATTACAGTCTAACTAAATGATTTTTCACCAATATCAAAGGCAGGACAGTAATATAAGAGGAGATACTACGAGATCTTCGCTCCACCAAAATTATGGTTCGCCCCCGCAGTAGTCAGTAATCGGTCAGTAATCGAAGTTCTGTCAAACCGTCCAACTTTCACTTCAACCGATTGCTAGAGACTTAGAGGCAGTGTGGGCAGATGTGAAGGTAAAGAGAATCTATAGGGTATGTACAGTGTCAACCCAACAAAATCCCGGCCGAAGTGCCACAGATGTTTGCTTTCGGACGAGGAAATGCTTCAGAAGCAATTCTTGCACGATCGCCATCTTATGGCCATGGGTCCCATCACGACTGTGCCTGCTTGATTGGCGGGCCATTTGCAATCGTTCAAATTTGTAATTAGGAAGTTCATGGAAAAGCCTGTTCCTTCAAAAAGAGCTTTATTCTGATTACAATGTTTACTAACCCCACTGGTGAAGTATACCACATATGGCACCCAGAAAAACTGAAGGGAGTCTACGCAAAGCGGACGAGGAAGATCCACCCAGCAGCACATAACTTGGATGCATCACTATAAGTTTAACTCCAAGAAGAACCATTTTAGGGAATCAACAAGAGCAACATTAGTTCTAGATGGACTGCCGGCCGCAACAGCGCCATCGCGCGCGGAGTGTCGTCCGAGTCACCCGCCGCCGTCTGTCACACTCCATTCAAATTGTTTTCAATTTGTTGATGACTTCTGTTGTTTGTTATTGAGCAATGAGCAATGCGACTTCAAAGTGTGGCGAACATTCTTAATATACGTTTCAGTGCGAATAGAACTGCTTCTCTAGCTTGCTTGAACTTTTGATGCATTTCAGGAGTTCGCCGTTATGTCCGGCGACTTAAAAACTGACTTGGCATCTCTCTTCAAAGTTCCCAAAGCACCTCAAGCACGTTCTTTGGAGTCATCGTCATCATCATCACAAATTGTCACTTCTAGTCAAAGCATCAAAGGTATTCGATGCTCTTTGTATAGTGATTCACAGTCATTTAACTGAAATTCCAGATCTCAAGGACAGTTACCAGAGAGCAAACCAGTCACTTGTACTCAAAGTTCATCGACTTGAGGTGAGATTTGGCTTATAGGTTTTTTTGGTTTTTTTTCACTATAACACTAGCAAAGCAAAGGACGAGAGACGTGTTTTCATGGTGTCTGCTCTTTGATGGCGGTTATAGTGCATCACCATAGATTATAGTCTGTCTGCTTTATAGCCCAGCGATCACATAGCCTCCTCAGGTTTTTATTAAAGTCGAAGTCATAGGCTCCGAGATTTGGGAATTTTGCCATTATTTTGTCATTAAAAGTCTAGTAACCGAAGTTTCAGCCTGTTTATGTTTCGTAAATCACGACAGTTGACTAATTAGTTCTGAGGAAAATATCCAATTTATTTTAGGCGGAGCTGGCTCGTAGTCGAAAATGCATTGAGGAGCTTCGCACTGAAAATGCATCATTAAAACGAAAACTGTACGATGTTGAGCGTTTGGAAGGAAATGAAAGGATTGAAATGCTTGTGGAGCAGCGGATCAAGGTAGGACTATTTTCACATTTTCTACCACATTTCATTTTCGCCTTCTTTCATTTCCTCTTCAAACAAAAAAGACCTCTTCCACCCTCTTTCAACCCCTCCGTGCTTTCAAGTGTTTGTCAGACTATCGATGTTATGTGATGACTAATGACGTTGGTTGGTTTTGCACCACTTCAGATTGAGGCCGCGCTCATATTGTAGAGAGGAGGATTCTTCGATCGATGCTTTGTCCTTTGAAAACGCGACTAGGCTAGGAATTTCAACTAGGGGACCTTACTACTCAAAATTCATTTTTTTTTGTTCGACAGCGTTTATTACTTTCTACATACAACTATGTATGCTTGGTCATCAAACCTTTATGGCAACAGTCTGATTTGCAGAGCAAAATGGATCATCTCAATCACATTGGCTCAAGAACTATATCACATCTAGAAAGTGCTGCTTTGAACCTGCGGAAGTCATTTGAGGAGTTTGGGTCTGCTTGTTTTCCAGTTGAACAAGTATGACTATCAACATTGCTCAGCATTCCAGGGTGCATATAAATAGTACTTCCAACCAGGCAAATGAAAATGTTGCCCGCACCAAACGCAGCTCTTTATTTACTGACGGCCAACCACGTCTAAACGGTGGTACGTGTTTTTTTTTCTCTAAAAAGGGTTACGCATTCTTACATAGACAGTCCTCAATTCAGTAGTTGAGTCTCCACCCCTGGTCAAAGAAGCTTCTGTACAGAAAGACGAAAATTCTTTACCGCAAGAGAGCGAAACTCCCGTAAGTATTAGTTGTATCATGATTGAATGTTCCTTTTTTTTTTGAGATATTCAGAATACTCACTGATCTAGACTTTTCAGCGTGCAAAGTCAGCTCGGAGAAAGCCTCGCCGAAGTGAATTGTTTCAGACATATCGTCCAGAAGGTGCTGCTTTCTTAATGTTCTTTTCAACTTTTCAGCATTGATCGCTGATTTTTTAATTGCAGAGATTACTGAAACTCCCAGAATTTCTATTGATACAACTGAAGCAGGCTCTATTGAAGATACACTTGAAGCTACTCCCGAAGCAAGTGCAACTCCTCGAGAGCGGCCTTATTTCGAGACTCCTGCAGTACCGTTTAGTGAATGCGACACGGTATGTCTTTTGGCAGTTTAATAGTGTCATGTGTGCCATTAAATTGGGCCTGTAAAACCATTATCATGGTCTTCTTTTGTGTCGCTCTGCTAATGTGAGCAAAGTAATATCTTTTTACCAGTTATTTATCAGATATTTTCATGTTCCTTCCAAAATCAATACATGCGTAGCCAATTCTGCAGTCTCCCATTTCCCAGTCAGTGCAATCCTTGTATTTAATCTTACATTGCTCTCGCAACTGGATTGATCATAGACACTTTCATATATTGATACAGCTGCAACTAACAATTGGGACATTGTTTGAACGCTAGTCAGCGCAGTTATCACCATCAGATTTTGTATCTTGGCAATTATATTCTAACTTCCCATTTGTTTCATTATGAACACTTATTTTTTATGGCTTTCGTAAGACACTGGGAGTTGCTAGAATTCTCGACATATTATGCAAAGCAAGGAGTTTTTTTAATCTTCTTTGTAGTTCTTTTGTATATTTTATGCAAGCCTTCTTTCATTTGTCTCATGGCCGAAAATAGACATGATTTTTGCCTAAGCGGATTATGATGAAACGCTTTGTTGTGGATAACTCTGTTTATCTGCACTGCTGAGAAACGAGTGCTTTGTAGTTGGCTGAAGAATCCAAACTATACACTATGCGCGTATGCAACAGGCCTAGCAAAAACATGATGGAAATATAAAATTGAATGTTTTGTTGTCCACTCTATTCGTAACAAGCTTTTTTCCAAACGGAGTAGCTATATCGTCCGATCGGAAATTTTTCGTTTCAAAGTAAAGTTTTCTTATTCAATCTCAAAGAATGTTTGTCTTCATCATCCGCTGTCTAACATCTCTCAAAATTTAATGCAAATGCAAATGTTTATGTAAAAGAAGTTATGGTTCATGTATATATTTGAGACCGTAATCAAAGTTTACTGGTTTCAGGGACTACTCCTCAAGTTTGATGGCTATTTTTGCATATCTAGGTTACTGGGACTGTTACCGCATATCTGCAGGGTGAACTGTAAATAGTTAGGGGTGATCTGTTGGAAGGTTCTATACATAATCTCATATTAAAGTTTAGAATTTTTTGGGTGTGCATACACTATAGGAGTATAGTTTAGTGAATTAGTTGGACAGTTTATGTCGTGCACTTATAACGTATTAGAAGTTAGCATCAAGACTTGTTACGTTTCACAAGGAAATTTCTGTGCCCCATTCCTTTGTTTTTATTCTTCTGCAACGAGGACGATGAGCTGTCAACAGTCACGTATCTTGTCTCTGAAAAGCTTTTTGGCACATTACTTTTGTGTTCTCGCATGTCATTGTCATAGCTGTTGAGGATAGTTCTTCATAATCACGTGTCTTATGAGTGCACTTTACAAACAATAATGCATCCGCTTTGTGTCTAGGTACGACGGAAACGAACAGCTACTCTGAAGATCAAATCTTTTGCGGAACCACGACTGAACAGCAAATTACGCAGACCTGGCCGGAACGATGAACCTCACCCATTTGTCTCATCTATTTACTGAGAATCTTTCACTTTACTTCACTGAGCTATCTTTCGTTATTGATCTCATCGATGCTTTTGCCCGTAATTCCATCTTTACAAGGAGAATTTATTCTTTTTTTGGTAAGCTTAACCCTTTGTTTGATTGTGGGACCCATTGGCGACAGCATAGCCCAGCGTAGCCCACGGTCTTTTCAAAAAGTTTCCATATTTTTCCTATATTTGCGCCAAAGATAGTTTATTTTTGAAATTAACTCTTCAAGCTACTTCCTCGCTGACTATAATGTCAGTCAGTTAGAAGAATTTGATCATGGTGATGCGAACCATCAATCCGTGCTAGAAAGTTTTAGCGCGATGTCGTCAGTGGGTTGAATCTTACTGACTATATCAATCATATCCAAGATGCATTCGGTTTGCTACTAATTTGTCTCAAGTAATTAACTAGCACATATCCAATCTATAGTTCAACTACTTGTCACTGTACATACGTTCTATTTCATACTTTTCTTTTGCTCAAAATAAACCTTGCTTGTGCCATCGATCGATGTAGTCTATGGGTTTTTGAACGCTTGCTTATCTCTTCGGCCATTTGTTCTCTCTTTTCATTATCCTTTGCACCTTATTGATTGTTTACCTAGAAGTCTCCCACTTCATCTGGCCCGGCATGGGCAATTGTATCAGCTTCAAGAAGAAAAAGGATGTAACTCGTGGTATGCACATAGTTTTATTTTCTCATGGTACTAACAAGGTGGTGGGATTGAAAAATTTCAGAGCATCCAACAGTTAGTAAATGGCTTGCAAGCTGCGATTTTTCTTCGGTTCCAGATATAGACGATTTCATCGTTGAGGAAGAATCTCAAAATCGTATGGTATATGAGAGTGTGCTGGGCGGAGACACAACGGTAAGCGTGCGCGTAGAATTAGAATTTCTATATAAAAGTTTGTAAAGGGGATTGAGCGTTGGTATGCATTTGAGCCATTGAGAAGAGTTCATAGTCAGAGTGCTACAGCGCTAGAGTACGCGTCAGTGTAAATTGCGTAGTCCATAGTCGAATCGGCGCGCCGGTGTCGAAACTCTGGCATTATCCAAGCCAGCGCTCAAGATAGCTGGTGCGAGACGCTAGTAGTAGGAGTCTCCTGCATCGCAGAAGCAGGAAGCAACATGGATGAACAGAGCTTTGACCAAATTTATCTCAAGCATGTCAGTTATCCATATCAATAATTCTTACAATTAGTCTTGACTTTAGCGGCTCCCTTAATGAGAAATTTAGATTGAAAGCTAGGTGGCAATAAAAGCAGGAGAAACTCACTTGAGTTGAAAGTTAGGCTGCAGTAAATGCCAGAAAAAGAACATTAAGGGTCTAGCCTCAGAACTTGTTTGGTAGGCAATTGTTGCAGGCTGTTGACCTTGACGGTTATATCACGGCTCTAGAAAATCTCGAAAGTGAAGATGAACGAAGCGGCGAAAAGGCTAATACTGCTGCACCATCATCTTCAGACGAAACGCAACATCAGGTTCAGTGTTCTAACGCATCCCCTTCTTCTGGATATTTATGCCATTTGAGGTTGATTCTTGCACCTTTGGTGATGAAGAAAGTATCTATGAGACTTCGGATGAGTTGCCTCCTACGGATCCTCCAGCTGAGGTGCCGAATACCCCCGTAAGTTTCGAAACAGCTTGGCTATAAAGTTGCGATGGGCTATTTTAGATGTTTTCCGCTCGGACTGCCTGTGCTGGTGACGAAGCGGAAGAGGAAGAGAACGATGTAGTAGAAGATCTTGCAAAGGTGGGTTTCCATTCGAAGCAAACCAGGTGATTTCACACGGTTTTCTTTCAGTGGAGAACGAATTATGATGACAGACCTATCTGCCCACTCCCTACTCCATTTCGAAAGGTGAGAAGCTGTCAGGATATTTACTATGTGTAATTTTCTTTTTTCCAATTTATTTAGGGTTTTTGTTGTTTTTTTGTTGTTCATGTGGCAGGGATCTATTGTAGGCATTGTTTTTGTTGTATACTTATTTTTGAGTGACTTGATATTACTGGCATCGCGTATTATTTTCTCAGACTACGAATTTGCGAACTTTCGAGGACTGTTTGTTTTTTATAAAAAGATCTGTTTTGGAATTGCAAAGTTCTAATCGTAAACCACTCTCAACTTTTGCAAAAAATTTTTAAAGTACCACATCACTTTACTAATCCAGAAAATCAGAGGTTGCAGCGACATTTAGTTAATTATTTTCCCCAGGCACTTAGATTCTTAATTTTGCTCTGTTGTGTCCCATCTCGTCTAAAATGCGACCATGAAATGCTGTTTACATACATGAGAGATGCGCGAGTTAGCGGAATCTGCTATTTTTGGGAGTCGACTCAAAGTCATTTCTTGTGTCTTTCTCCATAAAACTGCTGGAAATTATATCTTTTGTGCTCATTCGTGGTATAATGACCACTTTTGAGCTTAAAAAATGAAGTTTATGGAAGTGATTATATATCAAGGAATTAGCAAGGTTGTTGATTCTTTGCTCATTTTAGTCTATCCATTCAAAGGAGTAATTCGCAGTTTCTTGGCCTTATATGCAAATTGTTTGAGGGGCTTCTGACCAACCAACGACATTAGCAAGGCGTGTATGATATATTCGCTGACGAAAAGTGCAGTGAACCTGCTCCTTTACTGTATCATTGCTCGACAAGAAAACACCACAGTTGCGGCAGACTAGGCAATCTCCATTGCTTTGCAATCCGCTTTCCATGACCAGCAAGAGACCCTGCTATTATCTACCGTCGGGTCTGCGCCATGTAGGAAGCTTGCCCTCCAATCTGCCTGCTCGTATGAATTATTTATGGCCGTGAATCTGGACTGTAAAGACAGTGGTTCGGCAAAATGGACCTCTGTCATATTTTGGTAGTTTCAGGTAGTAGACACCCCAAGTAAACCCTAGCCCCAACCCCACCCTCCAATTAATGCGCTAAATCATGAGAGAAAGCTTCAAAACTCCACCAATGACGCTCACTCAATGGAAGTGGGCGGAGCTGGTGGAGTTTTTCCTTACAGGAAGCGCATGAAATTGAAGGTGGGGTTGGGGCTACAGTGTACTCGGGGGTCTACTACCTGAAACTACCAAAATCAGACAAGAGTCCATTTTGCCAATCCACTGCCTTCGACTCTCGCACATGATACTCTTATGAAAGGCCGAATATTCTGCTATGGTGCTGGCGGCAATTCAGAGCTGACTTTCTCGATCACCAATGATTTTTCTGCTACCGGTTGAACAATGGCATTGTTAGGGCTCACCAAGTGTTGACGTAAAAAGTCTATTTATTTCGCTTCCTTTGGACACCACCTTTGAGTAGTTGAGTTAAAATCGGCTGAAAATGATTACGAGAAATTCCTTCACCGTCCGAAGTTGCTTTCTTCACAACGTTTGGAAATTCCTTTTATTACGCATGATTTTCTTGATTATTGCATTTCAGAATCTTATATCTCCTCGCACTGACCTGGAAACGTTGGTCGATAGTCGAGGAAAAGTAAGAAGAACGCAACGAGTAAAACTGTATCTGGAGGAGAAGCGCCAACATGCCCAAGTCTCATGATCATATCTCTGCCTACTTCCCACATATCCTTCTCATCTAACACTCCAATCAATTCACTTAGGACAGTGTTCCCTGTCAATTATCAGGTTTACTGACCACTTATAGCTATTTGACTAAGGCTGTGCTATGGGCTGCATGACTTAGCTTGATTGATCTTGCTTATTTTTTAGAATATAATTCATTACTTAATTACGTGTAGAAATTTTTATGATCTTCGCAGAACTTATGAAGCCACTTTGAGTTGCTCTCTCTCTCGCTTGTACAAATTCTCCTTCTGCTCACTTAAGTGTATTTCTCGTAGTCTTTCTACAGCATAATGCTTTCTATATATGCCACTTAACCGAGTATTTGGAATCGTTTTCCTGACTATGTATTTTCAAAAAGAAACGTGTAATATGAGTACTTTTGTTTTTATGTCATAAACAAGCATGCTTCTGTTTTTCTACTGTGGGAACAGCAGACGATAATGTGCTCTTCTGGGTATTTGTATAATTTATTAGTTCGTGAGGTAAGTATAGATAGGCAAGAAATATAATCTCAAAGGCATTCTGTGGAAGTCCAATAACGTCGAGCTACTTCGATCAAGATGTACATGGAATGAGATTTCAAGAGCTGAAGAGAAATGGAATGCGATGAAAGAAGTATTTAGGCTCCAGTGATTGGGCTTGCTGGAAACTTTGGTAGATGGCCCGGTTTTGCTCAGGATCGCTCGTCCATCAAGTGCGTTTATACTTACGAATGGCAGCAGAGTAAGCCATTGCTCGTGTAAGGGAAGTGAGTGTTAGATGCCGTTCTGCTGATCTACTAATCGGAATGCTTCCAACAATTCGTTGAGATCGATGAAGCCGTCCTTGTTGAAGTCGATGCTTTCGGCAATTTGGGCCACGTAATCCTGCGACAAAGTACGGCTCGTGTACTTTCCGAGTACCTAAAAATTGTTATGTGGTCTTTAATTAGTTGAATCTCAGCATTCTAATTCATTTGCTGTATAAAAAATAGATTCAGATATTCACAGCCGCAATATCACTTCCAGATGAAGTTTCAAAGAAGCGAAAGAGCTTTTCTGCATTTTATGCATATCATACCAGTTGAAAAAGTATATTATTGAGGCAAAAAAATCTTTCTTTATTCTTAATTTACGACCCCGATACGCCAGTTACCGCAGTGTGCCAACTGACCATGAACCGCTAATTTAGAGGCAAATGCATTTTATTACTTGTATTGTCTAGTAAATTTGCGTTCAGTAGAAGGATCTCGCATGGCCGACAGTATATGCGCGTAGAATATGGCAAAAAATATGACACAAACTTGAAAATGTGCACCAAAGGCCATTTGTACGCGCAAGTATTGTCTGCACCGCAGGGGCACAATATCAACAGCTGAATTTACAGAAAAATCGTAGCTACTCTAATCATTCATGTCAGACAGAGGGGATAATCTCTATTCTAAACTTGAATTGATGAAGGATATGGACTATATTGAGTAAGCTTAGAACGTACAAAGCGTTCTGAAAAATCAAAATCGACTATAACTTCATAGTCTAGTGTCGAATTTATAGGCAACTGTACGCTATATCTGTTTTATATAAGTCTGGGGATAGGTTTTTTTTTTGCATTACAGATCAAAAATGTAATACTGTGAAATAGACAACAAGAATGGTGGTTCAGAGGTTTATGGATTACTGTAACCGAGAGCGTGAGATTGTGACCTTGGGTGGTCAACGTGTGTTCAATAGTGAGGTGAGACCTCTCAGGTTGACGCATGGCAGACATGGCCCGTCCAATCGACTATGACGTCATATGGCACGGGTATCAGGAATCATCGATCGGTCGATGATGACAAATATCTTATTGTGAATGTTCTCTTGATATGGTCCAACTTGAAAACTAGGCTATTTGAAGGTTTCCCGTTAATCAAAAATATTCTCATGGGTGAAATTTGCTCTGACTCGCACTCATTTCTAACCTTTTTCTGATATGGTTTTTCTTTCGGTACCTGAATGGCATCTATAAACTCCTGCATAGAGACTTGTCCTGAGTTGTCCTTGTCCATAAACCGAAATAACGTCTCGAGCGTGCTTTTATGCCGATACAGCGATTCGACAACGTCTCTGTCCTAAAGTTTTAGTAACTATAGCCACTAAGAACATGTCATACTATGGGACCACTGTCACCGACTGTGCCAAATTTTTCTGCCAAGCTGTCTAGCACAAAAAATCTCTGTACTAAACTCTAAAAACCTAATAACACGATACTGCTACTCTGTTCTCACTTACAGCCGGATTTCGTGGATATAGCTTTATGTGCCGAATTGCCTCCTTTAAGTATTGATGACAAGATGAGGAGGATTTGAAATCTCTACTAACTTGTTTCTTGGCTTTTCCGAGCTGTACGTGAGAGAGGCTGTTGTGGTAAAGGACGTGCTTTCCATCTTCGTGAATGGCCGCCAATTTGGGGGCCAGTGCTCGCCAGGGTAGATGGAGCCCAGTGACTTTTTGTGCACATTCGCACCATTGGTGAACGGTTATCACTCCTGGAATCCACGTGATCAAGATTTGTACGGAAGTTTTTAAAGTTGTTTGAGAAATCAGCCTATGTCGTGTATACATAATAGTCTGATGGATTAGGCGCATGTAGTGCTCTTGCGGTGCCGACAACATTTGAGCGTAATAAATGGCCTTGGACCGCAGTCTATAAAATTGTGCGCTCCCTGGCCAGTATTACGCCCTTGTCGTCAGGTAACATGTCAACTTTTCGAAAAAAAACCTGCCTTTCCCTTGTGGATCATGTTTTTCAAACTCCTTCTCCAGTTCGTTGCTGAACGCACCCAACTTCTCCTTCACTTCTCGTACGGCAGATTCTTCAACAAGACTCAGCCTGAAGACGCAATAATATCTAATTCCCGGAGAGTAGTTTTACTCCCTTACCGTTCCCGTAATGTGCTTTTCCGATGTGTCTTGGTTGCCATGTACTGTACAATATGTGGTTGTTTACTGCGTCCAATGAACTTGACGTATGCTCCTCGATTACTACCGAGCTCGTAGTAGTTCGAGGCTGAGAAGATTGTAAGGACGCTAAACGAAAAAAAAAAACAGTACGGATGCTTGGACATTACAAAAAGTTTTGTTTTAGAAAAAACCCCTTTGAAAATTTTAAAGCCTTTTCTATAATCATATTGGGGCTTTGAAACTATAAAATTTGATGTGAGTAGATTACTAAGCCAATCGAGGTTAGTATTTATTAGTAAGTGGGGGCCTAACGTTTCGAGCTATTCGTCTCCTCCAGAGGCCTAAAGTGGTAAGAGATTTATGATTTTATGTCATCCCACCAAAAACCTCCTCCATCCCCGGCTAGCCTCGACGTTGCCCCAGAATGCTACAAACAAAAATTCCATAACGTGAAAGACGAACTAACCTCCTCCACCAACTTACTAATAAATACTAACCTCGATTGGCTTACTAATTTACTCACAACATACTAACAATGCCGAAGTTCAGAAGGGAGGAAACTTGGAAACCACGAAATTTGTGTTTTATTCACCGTAAGCAAGCTTGAGAAAGATTTCAATCCGATTTCCAGTATCACAACCACATCAGAAACTACTGTACTTACAATTAGAAATACAATACTAGGAGAGTCGGCTCAGACTTACCATAAAACTGGGAAAGCTATGACTGCGCACATCCGCCTTACTGTTTTCTGCGGCTTAGGAAAGCACCAAAAAGATGTTATGGTATATAATCAAAATTCGGTACTTTTCCGTTATTCGGACCTATTTTTTCAAAGAAGGTATTGCTTCTTTCTTTGTGTTATGGTCCCAATTTTATAGGAAGGATTATCAACCTTCTGCCACGTGCCAAAAAAATTTGACATGTCATCTACATGTTTAGCACGTTTTACTAGGAGTTTGTATTGCCTTACCTAGTGACGTAAGTTTAATCTGTTTTTCAATTAATTTAATCCCATTTTCGACAAAGCAGTTTCAAGAATGAACATTATTAAAATAATAATGTTACCCTGTCATCAATAAAAAGATTTGACTTGCTTAGAATAGAGCATTGCGCTAGATTTCCATCATACAAGCAGCGAAACAAGCATTAGCGAGGTACTACAAGCCATTATTTGTGACCTTTCCTGACACTCACATGACGGACAGAGTTCATAGAGAAGGACATTTTCGAATCATTGCGAAAGCAATAAGGTGTTCTAATATAAATTTTGAATTGTTTTGCTTTTACAGTGGCTCTTTTGAAGAAATGGATCCGGATAACGGAAAAGTTCCCAAGATTCTAGAGTGTTTTTTGACCCAATCCAAATATATTACGCTTTATATGTAATGTAATTCTATCGAGAATGGGAGGCGGTAACGAACAGATGTTGACTTTCTATCTGTCTGAGAGTTATAGGTGGAGGAAAAACTTGACGTTCAGCGTTTTCCCATAACTCTGATGATTGCAACTTACTTTTTATTATGTGTGTACTCGTATCCTTCAAATTTACATTCATGTGATCGCACTATAAGATTGAATCCATGCCTAAATAGAGCTATGAAATCCAAATGGTGAAGTATAAGCTACCTAGAAAAAGCTTACTTTTCCAAAAAAGAGGCAGTGATATCGGCACCAAAGTAGGACCCTCCGCCTCGAAAAACATTTGGATAACAGCCTTAACGTAATTATTGTTGCACAATTCAGAGATTTTCAGTTTTAATTTCTTCCCAACCTACCCTTGTTAGGCTTGGGGTCACTCCATAGGATGTCAAGCATTTGCTTCCATTCCTCTACATTCACCGAGTTTTTTCCTTCTCCTTTTCGTACGGGAGGCCGCAGCACCGAGTGGTACTGTAACAACAACTTTTTCAAGTTGAAGACCTCATAAACAACGCTACCCGATTTCGATGGATCTTGTCCAAATGTCGGATTTCGGTAGTGTCTGATATGCCACCATGAACAACAAATATTTCTTTGTCGATAATCGTGGCAACAGGGAGCCAAGAGAAAACATCTTCCAACGTTTTTGATATGTGTGCAGCATGGTCCTAGAAATATTTTGTGATTAAATTGCAGTTGTATGCTAGTTTGATTGTTCTCGAATAGAAAAAAAAACAAAAAATAAAAGTGTTTATGCTCCTTCCAATATACGTGTGCAATATACAAGATTTCTGAACCGTTATGGGATCATAGGAACTACATTATGCAGTCTTCACAGTATCAAGTTGGATAAAATAATTCTTTGTTCCGCTTGTTAGACACACTCTCTAAGTTATAAGTGCAACGCATCCTACAGGAATCTAAGGAGAAGATGATCTTATATACACCAATTTGCCTGCTTAATATGATTAAATACGTTTTCATGGCCATGCCTTATCGCCGCCACTTTCGCTTCGCACTGAAGACTTTATGGCAGCCCGCTCGCTGCCAGTTCTAACAAAGTTTCTCAGCGGGAAGCGAAAGTGGCGGCGATGAGGCAACAGCGCTTTTGGTGGGGCCGGCTGAGACCTTTGACTGTCTGAGCAGTCTTGGATTGAATTCTGGCTCCGCGTAAGCTGAGCAGCACATTTGCAAAATTCCAGAAATGGCTGCCGGAGTTTTGAACAAACAAGAGCACTGAAAGTGTATAATCAAGAGACCAAGCCTTTTGCCATTTACCATCATTCAACGATGTCATCACAGATGATATTTCTCGGCAGTGAAGTGCCTTGTAAGTGGATAATTCCAATTCTGGTTATGTCCCTCCCCCCTCCCCCCCCCCCCCTCCTCCCTCCCTCCCTCCCGCGCTGTTTCCTGAGAGAAAACGATGTACAAGCGTTCAGCTCAAGCAAAACAGTGATAATATTCAAATGAGACTGCAGCTACGTAAATAAATGAGACTGCAGCTACGTAAATCGACAATCGCCTTATTGATACAACATAAAGGTTGCAAGTTCAAAGTTGCTCTAGAAAAGTGATGTCTTTTTTCTGTACACGGTGTCCCAAAAGTTTTGTAGCCTAAGTTAGCAGCGCTATAACTTATGAATCATTGGTAGTTTCGCTTTCAAATTCAGGCAATCATAAAATGCAATCATTCTTTATAGTACACATTCTTGCAAGACTAAGACGATTTTCAAATGTTTTGGAAAAAAATAGAATTACCGAACCATGACTTTGTAAAAGCCGCAGAGTTTCATGTCCACATGAGAAGGCTTTGTACTATTATCAATATAAAAGATGCTTCGAAAATCTAATCCATCGAGGCAGGTGAAAAATGATTTGAAAATTTTGGGTGCGAGCTACGGAATCTGTAGAGGTGAAGCAGTCACTGAAGTTGAAGTAATATTCCTTCCATATGTTTTCTAGATTAAACCTTAGTTCGGGTGGAGGAACGAACACCTCAATTAGGCACCGCCTCCGCGGACCACTGGTCCTAACACGATGCACAACAGTAGGACGGAAGGACCAGCAGCCCGTGGCGACGGTGCCGAATTGAGCTGTTCGTTCCTCTACCCCCTTAGTTCAGTTCGAATGACGAACTTGGTTTCAATACACATTGGAGCCAATATTTTTTTTTGATTTTCGGCAAATGTGCCAAAACCCCAGCGTGAGGTTTACGCATGTCTGCATTAAATTTTCTATAAATTTCGAACTTAGATTTTACAAGATTTTTTCTTTGAATATGTCGTAGCTGGAAGCTCGCACTATCATGCCACACATTTTCTAAGAGATACGAACTATTTCCGTGAAGGCGTGGGACGAAATGGTGATGACTACTTGCGTGCCACTGTAGTGGCAATCGCCAACACTTTGAAGGCTTCCTTTAACAAAAAAAAAACTGCCTTCACAGAATCTGTGTATTGTATTGCATTTGTTATTGGTTGAGTAATGCTTCCTCCAAGTCTTATACCTCTACGCTGTTCCGTACTGTTTTCATCAGATAAAATACTAGGATACAAGACTTTTGGGACACTCTATGCTTTTCGTGGGTGACTATTTCATATTTTTTTATATGATTCGACTTACGATATTGGTGGATTATTTGTATTTAAATTTGATAGAAGTCTCAACAAAAGCCTGATTCTTTGGAAATTTGTTGATTGAATCTTCTACTTACGTAGGCTAATTACGATGCAATGACATAAGCAACGTGGTATTATCAGCAGCTACTGGCTTCCTTAACGAGCTTATTGGTGGGTGTTTATAAAAATTGTTTGCAGATTCGTTAGGATAAAAAATGATGTGTGTCACAAGCGGATTTTTTAATATGCGAACACTTTTCCCATTGCGGAGTATGAACTAAATAGTAGCTTTTGAGAGAATTTTGTCATTATCTCATGCTCACCTTGTACTTCGTCACGAGCTCCTTTGAAAAACCATAACGAAGATTCATGATGTGGTCTTCGTGATTTCCTCGATTTAATGTTATTGAATTAGGATCTAGCACGAATAGGGCCAATAAAGCACATAGCACCTGAAATTTCGGACAATTTACAAGTAATCGAAATTTTTTTACTCTCGCCTTTCGAAAAATATGGAACGAAGATCTCGCTGCGAAAAAAAAATTTCTTTTTATCTTAAATTTCGAAAAAGCGATTACCTCTATTGATTGGCCTCCTCGATCAACAAAATCACCATTAAATATGTAAGGATTGTCCACAGAGGGGTAGCCATTCTACAAAGAAACGATTTTGCTGGAGTTTAGCGTGAGATTCCAAAGTTGCTTACTTTGTACAAAATTATACAGAAATCATCAAATTTGCCGTGGAGATCGCCACAGACAGTCACCTGAAATTGCCAAGTTCAATTAGGTATTATTGAAAGGAAAAGCTGAATATGTTTTCGAAGATTTGACTTTTCATTATCGAAAAAATTAATTTGTTGTTAATCGATTTTTCGTTTGAAAGCGCGTGATCTTGGAAACATTAGCTCACCTGATTTGATATGGAGGTAGATAACCGAGTGATTGTTGGGAGCATTTTCAAAAGCCGTCGAGCTTCGAATAACAACGTTAATACATATTTCGGGTGAAGAATCTGCAAAGCAATAAATTATAAAAAGTTCTAACTCCTACAAGGCACCCACCTTGTTCACTTTGAAAGCTTCAATCATAGTCACGATTTGTTGCTTGTCAAGTGGAAGGGTGAGCACCGGACCTTTGTAGTTTTTCTCGACTATTATTTTGCTCGGATTCGCTGTCTCCATCAGTTTCTTGAATGCTTGGTCATCATCCTCTATAATGACATTTTTAATAGGAACTTCTTTTCATAGAATTGAAAAATTACATACCTTCTTTTGGCGTCGCATAGGAACTGATTGCTGAAAAAGAAAACTGTCAACAGAGGTTGAATGGATGTAAATAGTAGAAAAATTCTATCAAGGCAAATCTGGAGTCATGGATTTCTTATAAGAAAAATAATTGAGGGGTACCTACTGGGCTTTTGCCCAAATGGTATCTCATATTGTTCAATCCCGGCCGTGTTATGCAGCTCTCAATTCTCGCCCACACCGTAGCCTACCGTACCCTGAACGCTGATTGGTGCGTCTAAGTAGGGTATGCTACGATTGAGGATGAGGATGGATAGTGCATAACACGGTCGGGAATGAATTATATGAATGAGCTGAAATGGAGTTCAATTTCTTGGCCCCAGTTGAATCGATGGGCTGCTTTTTGGTGGCTTAGCTAATCTCTTTATCATGCAAATAAAAAACTTATCCAGGTCTAACCTGAATCTGCTTTTTTATATGAGGAGGCATAAGTCATATTATAATCAAAACGATCAAAGTTTACCCGAAGCAAACGGTGAATTGCCATTCTCCTCGCCTTCGCTGTTCACCATTGCGGTGATGACGTCGCTGAAGAAGTCGTACAGCTACAGGAGAGTTGTTTCGACGTTCCCTTCACACATCCACTTACCTTCAGCTGATCCTGCTCGCCAGCGTATTCTAACGTCGTGAAGATTGTCCATGTGGCTCGACGACGTGCTTCCAGTCGTGCTTGACACCGACGATACCATTTTTGGATGAGAATCGCAGATTTGATTGCTAAATTTGGTCATAGCAGAGGTGAAGTGAAAGAAGCTGGTGCATAGCATGCTTAGAAGTGTTACAAGATGTGGGTAAGGAAAATATGATTGAATATGATCTTGAGCTTTCAATAAAGAAAGATCATCACTATTATTTTCACTCATATGATTCGTGTGCAATCCCTTATTGACAGTAGATAGATTCACTTATATTCTGAAATAAAGTATGTTGACTGACTAATGTGTGCTGATGTATCGACATCGACAAAAGCACAGTAGGGGGCCACCTAGTTGTAAACAATATTTTGAAAAAATAACTTCTTTGTAGAATCCGTTTCGAGAAAAAATTTTTACGTAAAAATCTGAAGAACGAAAGAAAGAAAGAAGAAAGAAATTATATTGTACTCATTTGTGCACAAAATTCCTACAGCTCAGAAAGGAAATGATTTTGTGAAATCATCAGTGAATGAAGATGTCTTTAGCAGCGATAATCCCATCGCCAGCATCGATTTATTCTAACAGCATACTTGATCTTTGAAGCAATTCTCACATTCTTTCGAAGCAATTCTCACAATTTCCCGATGGGTAAATGAATTCTTAAAGGAGAGCTCTAATTACTATGTTTACTTTTTGCAAGGGCTAATTGGTAATTGTTGGAGTAATTATGGTCAGTCTTTTTTTGTTTGCATTGAGTATAAAACAATCAAATAAATATGTAAATAAAAATTAATAGATAATTAAATAACCAAACAAATAGGTAATCAAATGAATGAAAGTTTTGAACAGCAACTTATTCAAATGACTCTTTCATTATCAGTGAAGATCGAAATATACTGTTGTGCAATACCTCATTATTTAAGGATTAGGGTACAATCGAGATTCTATGAATGACCTGCTTTTCCTCGCTGCAGATATCATTTATGTGTTCAATGAATCATATATCAAATGGCACAGCAATCAGAAAATTTTTCGTTATATTCCACTAGTATATTTTTTGAATTTTGCGTTATTTTTCTTCAAATTCAGTTTTAGTGGTCATTTCAAAATATTACAGCAATTAGTAAACATGATCGCATTATGACGACGTAGGAAAGGTATAAAAGGTCATTCTATTAGGTTGATGCATAATTCCTGCAAAAAAATAGGTATAGACTGCAATAACTCGGAATAATCCTATATCCCAAGTAGGATTCGATATATCATTAGATAGAGCAAGCCTAGCTCTACAAGATGGTGCCTAAAGTTTTGCAGCAGCTTTGATTCAAGCGAGGATTGAAGCCAAAAACCGAATAGATCCAAGCGCTCCAAAAAACCAAGAAAAAATTGGAGGTCATTTCCGAAAAATCCTTCAAAATTTCTAACTTGCTCATGCATTGTCATTTCGTATAAGACATCTCTCTATGCAGTTGCTGTATTTTTCTCTTAGCTAGAAATTGAGAAAACGAAGTTTTTCATGTTTTTTTCAAAACAATGCTGAGATGTTCTAGCACTAACAGCTGTATACTATAGGACCTTAGAAGCGTGAGTGCAAATTTTCAGCTTTTTACAGCAGCTGGTTTACGAGAAATATCGAATTTTTGGCAACTAGGCAAGAAAAATTTTGGATGAAGAGAGCTAAATTCGTCATTTCTAGTGAACTAGCTGTTCTAGAAGGTTGAAAACGCAAAGTTTCACTGCTAATGGCACGTACTATACAACTGTTAGTGCTAGGACATCTCAACACTAATTTGGCAAAAACATGAAAAACTTCGTTTTCTCATCGTCTAGCTGAGAAAAAATACAGGAACCGCATAGATAGATGTCATACGTGGAATGTCTACGCGTGAGCAAGAAAGGAATTTTGTAGGAGCTTTTTGAACGAAGTTACAATTTTGTTTTGATTGGTCTTAAGGTTTTCGGACGCATAGTTTTTTTTTTCACTTTTCGGTTTAAAACTTCGCGTGGATCAAAGCTGGTGTAGATATTTGAGCACTATCTTGTAGAGTTAGGTTTGCGCTATCTAATGATATATCGAATCCTACTTGGGATATAGGATTATTCCGAGTTATTGCGGTCTATACCTATTTTGGTGCAGGAATTATGCATCAACCTGGTACATTGGGCTTCTTCTTACTTACGATAGCCTCGATTTACGAAATACATCCTTCACTTTACATTGATAAACTTTAGCAAACTCAGGTAACATGTGTTTTTTTTTCAGATATCTATGCTAGATTGTGGTGAAACTTTGCTATTTCGTGAAGAAAATGCTTGAGTGCATTGAGTGCATCGACATGTGTAATCTGGTGCAAAATTGTGAATATTCACGATGCCTGAATACTAACAACATATAAGAATGTAAGAATTTGGTGCGTAGAAGTTGAAACAGGTTGAGAATCGCACTGGTGCTGGTCATGCTGAGCTCACGCAGTTGAGCTTGAGTCGATGGTGTCGCGAGTCGCGGAACTGGTGGCGACGCTTTGGCCACTTTTGGCGATCTGGCCGCTTTCACCTTCATGTTATCATGACGAGTCGAGCGAATTGGCGCTTTTACTAAAGTTCTAGCTGTCGCTCTTCCTTAAATGTGCTGTTTCAGCGAAATTAGATTTTCACGTGTTAGTTGGATAAGAAGTTCCCGGACATGATAGCTAGCTTGAATCGAGATAATTCACATTTGGGCGGGGCTTAGAGTTCATTACAAAAAATTCAATTTTCTGTCAACGAATTTGAATAATTGTTGCATATACGTGTAGTGCGAGGGGGAAGGGGAATGGTAGAACTTTTAAAAAATTTCAAATTCAAATAAAATTGGCTTATTGAAGGAATGTTTTTCGGTACGCCCCTTTTTTCATAGTTTCAGGGTCTTGCGCTATGAATCTTGGAAAGCATCCCAACCATTTGGAGAGCTCGACCGAGGTTATCCCACAGACTCAGAAGTAAATTTCTGTTGCCCTCCACCTAAAAAAATTCTTGAACCGAAAGTATTATGGAGCGATTTATGCATTCTGTGGTTATATAGGCGGGGCCTAAAGTTGACAGGGAGATTCCAAACAATTCTACGTTTTCTTACGTTTCATGTCCGAGAATTTCCTACCCTTCCAAGGTTTTTTCCCTACAAAAATTTAACATTTTTGAATGCTGTTAGAAATCCACAAGGTTTTTGAAATACTATTATGTCAAAATATCAAATATGAATGTTCAAAAACTCACTCAGCTCGGTGCTGGGCGGTGGTGGCCGGCTGGACTGCCCGCACCCCATTCAGAAGAGCTCCACTCACTGAGCGTTGTATAGTTCTAAAGAACAACAATAGATGATATCACATCAAAACATCAAAATGTGAATATGCATTGGTACGTAAAGAGAATCATATTTCATACTTTCCAGGGAAGATTTGAGAAAATTGGAGAACTAAGAAGGAGTTATCGCTAGGAGAATTCAAACAGTGGGAGAAATCAGAAGTACAAAAAAGCTTACACAAACTGTGAGGGACTCGTCATACTTCGCCGAGAAAAGCCCAGAAGTGCTCAGAAAAGCCTAAGAAAGCCCAAAAACGCCCAGAAAAGCGCAAAAGCGCCCATCAAAATAATGTCAGAATTCTACTGAAAGTTCGTTTCAGAGTTCCGGCTCTTTCTGGCGTTTTCGGGCTTTTTCGGGTTTTTTGGGCTTTTTTGAGCGCTTCTGGGTTTTTCTCGGCGAAGGGACGGGTCTCTGACTATTGTCTTACCGAAGTTGGGGCTGATTTGAAATGTCAAAAAGCAAAATAGCGCTAAGACAGTGATGAGAGCAGTGAGAGGAGTAACATGAAGTTATGAGCGCATTATGAATACGGCCTGTAGAAGTTTGGCTGCATGTCAAGAAAAATATTTCTGATTCTTTCTCAAGACTGATTTCCTCAAATTTTTGAAGAAAAGTCTTCGTAAAGTGCTAGAGCAGATTTTTCGTCAAGAACGGTTGAGTGGGTTTTATTGGGCATCAAGAATACTCGCTTTGAAATAACAGACACAACGGATACAGTCTATTTCCTCTATAACTTTTTATTTTGAATCGTCTAAAGTTTCTCATTTGAGATAAATTGAGTCGGAAAGAAAATTGTGCCCTCCGGTTTGAGAAATCTCGACTCCTTATCTTGACACACTTATCTTGGATTTGCTTGACATGATTTATTGGTGAAGTTTATTTGAACTGGCACCTTAGCTACTTCCCATTAAGCACAGATTGCAGAGATAGAAATGGAGGACAAAAATACAAATCAACTTACTAATCAAATACAAAACTAATTTCTGGTGAGTTCAAGCACTCGCCGAAAAGTCGAATAAGTTGCAAAGAAATCTAGAACAGTCATTGAAAGATTGGCAAATAAGTCTATCTACCAGCACAGTCCTCATCCTAATAGTCACAGCAACCAAATCACGTCGATTTAGATGCATTTTTGTCTATGGATCAAATTTCTCATCTCTCTCAATTTTCGATTTTTTCAGGCAATTTCGGGAATATCTCTTGTATAAATCTCACTGGCAGGTCCATATTCCCAACGAATAGAGTAAAAAATTTAAAAAAAAAGTTTTGACATTCTCTGCTTTTTTAGTATATTGCAGCAGTTGAACAAATACAGTTTGTTACTAAAAATCAACTCGCAAAATGATCAAAAGGATTGTTCAGACAAGGGCCTGCACTAGCTGGTACGAGACAAGCTAAATATTGTTTTTGGAACAAAAAGCAAAGGGGATATCGTATTTGCAGCCGAAAGGACACAAAAATTGCGACTTTTTTAGTCGACGTTTCGTTTTTTACGTTTAGCTTTTAAGGTCAAAAGGAACTTCGTAAAAATTTTGCGAAAATCAAGGAGGACTTCGTTTTGAAAATTTCCCGGCGCCAGCTTGTGCCTAGCCCCGGTTCGGACCTAATAAAAGCTATGCTTAGACCGAACCTCTGAGACGTGAAACCGCAGAAACCATCGGAATCGCACGACCCTCTTTATGTTTATACGATTTGCGTCAAGAGAGGGACAGAAAAGAATACAAGTTACCATCTGGCAGGAGAATTCAAGAGCAATTTGACGTCACGGAAAAAAGTCAACAATGATACGATGGATGAGAATCATGGGAACATGAGGAAAACGTTCAAGACATGACAACGATAATGCAATAGAGAATTTGTTGAGGTAGTTTGGCCAAAGAATCTTACCCATTAGCTGTTTTTGATGAGAAGCAGTCAAAAATGCAAAAAACAACAACAACAATACAATCATTCTGAATGACTATGAAACCATTACAAATAAAGATGAACGATTTTCTTTTGTAAGAATGAAGCAAAAACAGTGATGACAAATATTATTTTACGATCAAAGCATAGCGGACTGCAATGTTGGTTTATAGCACTTCATGGTCTTCTTTCTTGGTAGAGGTTTTCTAAATAATGGTAATGTCCCCATAAAGGAGCGATGAACATTGTTTTCACCGAGTTAATCCGCTCGTCGGTTAAGAGAGAATTTTGGCGGAATTGATGAATTTTTTGGGTGACATCTACCACATGTACAGATTCGACATAACTGCAAAATGGTAATGACAGAAAGAAATCTCCAACGAAAATTTTGTCCTATTAACAGCAATTATTCACCATCGAGCGCTCTGTATACTCAAGAGGAAGTTAATAGTCCTTTATGACCTTTCAACAAAAATTATGAGAAAGAAGTTCATGTTTTGACCCTGTAAAATGTTTTCGGGTCACTGAACAGTTTTTTTTTCATTTTTTCCAGATTAGTAGAGTTATTGCTTGTTATAATGATGTTTTTTTTGTTATTCAGTGGCGTTTGTTTGCCTGCTAAGTATCTTTCTACCTGCTCTACGATAAAATTCTCTATTTAACTTTTCGGATATTGTTGTTGGAATCTTGAAAAATTTATGAGTGAGCAGATGATGGAGAGACTGTTAATAGTTCAAGTTTATCAAGCACTTGACATCAATAAAACAAAAACAAGAATGTCGAGATTTATTTCAGTCTAAGATTCTGAGTAAGAGAATTTTTCAGAGCACTGTGACTTGAGGCCGCTTTAAAGCATGGTTTCCCGCAAGTTTAAGTAGAGTGCTCTGCACCAAACAAATGGTAGTTCTTTCTTTGTTGAAGAGCGATTTGCAAAGGAAGCAGCCAAAATAGAAATTTTATCCTCTTCCTCGGGATTTCCACTCAAAGATTTCTGAGAAATGTGTACTTATAATCTAGAAAGCGTTCCATCAATTTCCCGCAGCTATTGATAGAAAAAAAACATCGGGTATTCAATGAAAAAGGAATGGGATTATCTAGAAGTTTTCTGCTTGCTTCTGACTATTTCTCAACAATTATGAAACCTTTTCGGCAAATTTTGGGATTCGACTGATCTCAGTTTGCGCATCATACTTCAGCTCTATTTTTAAACTATCTTTAGAAAATTTGTGGTGTAAAGCAGAACAAAAGGTGAAATTCACCTCAAGTTTTATTGCGCAGCACCTCAATTGTCAACACTGTATGAATGAGTTTGTTTGGTGGAAATAGCAAGCGAAAGAACACATTACTTCTTTCATACATATGACTATTGATACGGTGGTTTTCTATTCAATCTTCTTCGCGACAACAGAAATCGCGCTCCAATAACATGAAAAATTTACCAAAAAACTGTGACGATAAGGTAATGACAAAACCGATCACTGGATTAGCACTAATTTTGCAAGTTTTTTATTCACTACTATCTGTTTGTGCATAGCACTCATATTTGACATTATAGTAAATCATGACGTAAACAACAAATGCTCATTGCTCTCCGAATTTCGCCATTTGGCAATGGTTACGGTAGGCATATGGTAGGAAGTTGCAAGTTTGTGATCCTGCTCGCAATAGGGGGCACGGCACGAGCTGGCAGGGAAATTTCAAAGCGAAGTTCCCTTTAATTTTGGAAATTTCGTATGATGTTCCCTTTGATTCTAAACCCTAAACCTAAAGGAACCCCTCAAAAAACAAAACATCGAAAAGAAAACGTCGCAATCTTTGTGTCTTTTCGGCTGTAAAACAAACTCCATACATAGATCATTAAGTTTCAGAAGTTCTCAACAGAAGTTCTGTAGAAAGAGTAGAGTTTGGAAAATTGGTGGCCTAAGACGAGTGACTACTGTTGACGTCGTTAGTGTCATATAGTAGAAATAGGAGACAATGTCAATAGACGCTTTCAATCAGGACTAAAGGTTGCTTTGAGTCCTGATTGAAAGCGTCAATCATTGCTTTGAGGGGACTTTTGAATCATTTGAATTAATTTGAGGGGAACAGAATGCTGGAACTAAGACGCAATATGAACATATATGAGAGCACATTTGGATGATGAATAACAAGTTCGCTATTCCAAACATGTGATGTTCAAGAGTTTCTATGTGAATTCATCTGTGAGAGAAGAACAAGTGATGACAATTCGTCATGCAGAACAACTAAATTATGCAATATGCTTATGCAAATGTGTCTGGTTTTGGAACGAGTGTTGGTTTAAGTATCATCCAGACCACCCAACAGAGTTTGTTGAGAGATTTTTGTGATAAAATCTTGGGAAATGGAACCTTTGCTTAGTATAAAATAATGCGTCTATTATAAATGAAATTATGAGCGCCCATGATTGTACTCCGTTGGCAAGTGGGAATTTTTGAGAAAAAAGACCGACCCAGCGCTCGGCACGAGGTGGCTGGATAAAAATGCAAAAAACGAAGTCCTCCTTAAATTTTGCAAATTTTTGCGAAGTCCCCTTTGACCCAAAATCATAATCCCTAAAATTTCCCCAAAAAAAAGAAACGTCGACTAAAAAAACGTCGCAAATTTTGTGTCTTTTCGACCGCAAAAACGACCCTTTGCTTTCCTCAAAAACGACATCCAGCTTGCTTGTAAGCCACCTGTGCCGAGCTCTGGGCCGAACATGAATTTTGACTCAAAATGTGTTCTCCAACGTCATTATTTACTCGTTCTATTCATAGGATGCCCCAAAAATGCACATTGTCTGATTGTCAATATTTTTCTTTATCTTCACCTTTGATTACCTTGTTACAGAGATATAGATTTGTAAATTTTATGAATAATGCAAAATCAAAATTAAATGTATTATAAAAGTGTCACTAAACTCGCTTTCCTGCCTTTAGAAGAAGTGAAAGAATCCGAAACACCAAGAAACTTCGGCCGCTTTCCATTAGTGTAGTAGTGCAATAAAATTCAAGGAGACTTTTGCGCTAATAATGGCCAAAATCTCACCAAAAAATGCTCCAAACGAGCGAAAAAATCTGGTAGTAACT